GGCATTTGGGTTGGTTCCAGGTCTTTGCTATTGTAAACAGTGCTGCAATGAACATTCGTGTGCACGTGTCCTTGTAGTAGAATGATTTATAATCCTTTGGATATATACCCAGTAATGGGATTGCTGGGTCAAATGGGATTTCTATTTTTAAGTCCTTGAGGAATCGCCACACTGTCTTCCACAATGGTTGAATTAATTTACATTCCCACCAACAGTGTAAAAGTGTTCCTATTTCTCCACATCCTCTCCAGCATCTGTTGTTTCCCGATTTTTTAATGATCGCCATTCTAACTGGTGTGAGATGGTATCTCAATGTGGTTTTGATTTGCATTTCTCTGATGACCAGTGATGATGAGCATTTTTTCATATGTTTGTTGGCCTCCTGTATGTCTTCTTTTGTAAAGTATCTGTTCATATCCTTTGCCCATTTTTGAATGGGCTTGTTTGTTTTTTTCTTGTAGATCTGCTTTAGTTCTTTGTAAATTCTTCAGCAAAGTCTCAGGATACAAAATCAACGTGCAAAAATCACAAGCATTCGTATACACCAGTAATAGACTTCAAGAGAGCCAAATCAAGAACGAACTGCCATTCACAATTGCTACAAAGAGAATAAAGTACCTAGGAATACAACTAACAAGGAACGTAAAGGACCTCTTCAAGGAGAACTACAAGCCATTGCTCAACGAAATAAGAGAGGATACAAACAGATGGAGAAACATTCCATGTTCATGGTTAGGAAGAATCAACATCGTGAAAATGGCCATACTGCCCAAAGTAATTTACAGATCAATGCTATTCCCATCAAGCTACCAATGACCTTCTTCACAGAACTGGAAAAAAACACCTTAAACTTCATATGGAACCAAAAGAGAGCCCGCATAGCCAAGTCAATTCTAAGCAAAAAGAACAAAGCGGGAGGCATCACACTACCGGACTTCAAACTATACTACAAGGCTACAGTAATCAAAACAGCATGGTACTGGTACCAAAACAGAGATATAGACCAATGGAACAGAACAGAGGCCTCACAGGAAATACAACATACCCACAACCATCTGATCTTCGACAAACCTGACAAAAACAAGCAATGGGGAAAGGATTCCCTGTTTAATAAATAGTGTTGGGAAAACTGGCTAGCCATGTGCAGAAAGCAGAAACAGGACCCCTTCCTGACACCTTACACCAAAATTAACTCCAGATGGATTAAAGACTTAAACATCAGACCTAATACCATAAAAACCTTAGAAGAAAATCTAGGCAAAACCATTCAGGACATAGGTGTAGGCAAGGACTTCATGACCAAAACGCCAAAAGCAATGGCAACAAAAGCCAAAATAGACAAATGGGACCTAATCAAACTCCACAGCTTCTGCACGGCAAAAGAAACAGTCAGTAGAGTGAATCGGCAACCAACAGAATGGGAAAAAATTTTTGCAGTCTACCCATCTGACAAGGGGCTGATATCCAGAATTGACAATCATTAATTTAAACTGTAAATAAGATCCTGTTTTATTCTGGACTCTAATCCCCGCTAGTTCCCCTAACAAGCTGCCTGCAAAGCCAAGGCATGAAGCCTGCTGTTTCAAACATGATGATTGAAGAACTGCTCTTGTCCACACAAACAGCTAAAAATAGCTACAAGAATGTGAAGGCAAAACAGGTTCCAGGGAATGCAGAGAGTTACCCTGATGTTGTCAGTTCTATTCCAGCTGCTCCCACTAGTGTGAAAAGCAGAGAGAAGTATCTGGTACAAAAGATTTTAACTTGCTAGATGGCACCCTGGAGACCTGAGAGAATTAATACAACTTTTTAAAGGAGCCTGCCCTTTTCACTGGAGGATGGTGCAAGTCCCAGGAGAACTGGAGCAAATTTGAGAGCTGTCTTTGTTCTGCATAATTAACAGAGCCTGAAATTTCTTTCTTTTCTCTTTTTAACATAAATTCTCATTGATTGGAGGAAATACATTCACATTTTAAAATGTTGTGCAAGCACTATCTCTTTGATTCAAATATGTCCTTTGGGGGGGCGGAGTACATATTTCATGGTGATAAATTCACCTCATAAGTAGAAAAACTGTGTACAAATATACTGCTATGTCAACTTTATTGATTTTTGTACCATTGTTAAGACCTTCATTGTCCTCCAATATTTCTTACATCTATCAGCATCTCAGAAAATGACCCTGAAGGCCTCATTTATCTGTAGAGGAAAAGAGCCCTTCCTTTAGTTTCACTCATAACATTGTGATTTAAACAGCTCAGGACCCCCTCTGCTGTGAAGGGTGGCAGTCCCAGAGAAAGCCATTCCCTCAGAGTCACACACAGGGACTTCTCTTTTACTAAAACAAGGGTGTGTCAAGGCTTAAGATCAGTAAAATGCCCATGGCTAAATGCCATTTTAAAAGTCCTTCAGATAACTATGGACTAATCATGCAGTCTGATTAATGGTGTAATGACTTGAATAGATTCAATGGTTAGACTCTTGGCTGTACTGCCTCTCTGTTTCCCTTCGTCTGGACTTGAGAGTCCCACTGCTTAAGTCCCGCTCCCGAAAACAATCCTCGAGTTTCTGGGTCATCACTATATAATCTCCAGCTACAGAAAAGCTTATAATTACATTCGATATTTGGCATATTTTTATTTTTTCATGTTTCTCTCTAACAGCATCAATAAAACAGAGACTATCATTAGATTCTTCTGAGGTCTCTTCCAGCCGTAAATTTCTTCCATTTCCCTCTATGACTTAACAAATGGAGAAAATGTAAATGATTCACCCAGAGTCACCTGTTAGGTAGAATTTGATTCAAGGCAGGGACTTGGATTCCTGAATCTTAGTTCAGGGATCTTTCAATTACAAAAAGTCATGCCACATTTAGTACTAGAATACAGGACCTTTGAAGATGAGTCACTGGCTTATTTCTCTTTATATCCTATGGTGAGTAGCATTGCCTAGCATACAGTTTGTTGATTATTAAATTAAATTTGCTAAAAATGTGAACTGGAAGAAAAATCAATAGAGATTACAAAAATCAATTCAAAGCCAACAAACAACTAAATCTCATTATAGAAATAAAAGATATAAGTTCAGTTCCTCAATTTGGGACTGCATACAGCAGATCAAAATTGTTTAGCTATAATTGTTGATGAAGTACCCAGCCAGTAAAGGGAAGATAGGAATGTTCAAGGTATAATCCTAAATTTGTGAGGTTGACATTATTGGCTGTGTGGTACTCTGGCCATCAGCCACACATGGCTATGTCAATTTAAATGAATTAAAGTTAAATGAAATTTAAAATCCAATTACTCAAATTACACCAGCCATATTTCAAATCCCCAACAGCCATAAATTATTAATGTCTAAAGTACAGGAGAGCTTAGAGGAAAATTTCCAAAATCACAGAAAGTTCTACTGGACACTGCAGAAAGAAAAAAGAATGAAGTGAAGAGAAAACATCAATTAAGCTTTTACTATTCGGTGCTAAGCACCTGAAATGCCTAATTTCATATAATCCTTACGACTTCCCGCATGAGGTAGGTACTATATAATCGTCCCCCTTTTAAAGGAAATGCTGCTTGGAGAGACTAAGTACATCACCATGCTTATACACATAGTAATTGCCTTAGTTGGGTTTTCACTGGTCCTCTGACTCAAGTCTATGCTCAGCTGAAAAGTTATGCTGCTTCTACTGAAAAACTTGAAATGCCTACAGCCAGAGATAACATGTTACACTTTAAATCAGTGGTTTTTAATCCTAGATACGTATCAGAAGCATCTGGGGAGCTTTATCAAGATACAGTTACCTGAGCCCTAATCCAGAGCAACAGTGGTGGGACTAGAGGTTGCATATTTGGAGACCACTTAGTCCTTTTGACATGCAGCCAGAATTGAGAGTGATTGCATGAGAGATATTTTCAACACCTTCCACAGTCCAGATGGCAAAACGTAGACCCTACCCAGGATCACTAACAGTAGCTAATGAAAAATCTGAGATGAGAACATACACATCACTGCTACCTTAAAACACATTGTGGTTTAGGGTATGTTCATGAATGACACATTTCTTTTTCCTGATTAATACTATTAGTTCGTGTAACCTATGTAATACTTAGAAATTATGTCAGAACTCAGCATTTGATAATGCAAGTTTACGAAAACAAAGGCATAGATGTAGAACCATTCCTCTTCTCAGGCAAATAATGTCTTTCTCATTTCAAAGTATTATTTTCTTCCTAAAAAATGACGTATGTGAGGAGTAGGTAAGCTCTTTTAATAGGAGATGTATGATACAGAGGAAAAAGCATGACTGACTGCTAACCAAGACACCTTAATTCTAGTCCCAATTGTGGCCATAACTCTGCAATGGGCACAGACTATTTCTTTTTTCTGAATCTCAGTTTTCTTATCTGCAAATAAGGGTGTTGTATATGATCATCTCCAAGGCTCCTTGCAGCTAGGATCCATGCTCAGAAGGGACTAATATTCCCACTCCTTCCAAGCTACCTTGTTCAGCTAAATGCATTGCATTCATCCTGACATTTGTGTGCAGACTAAACATTAAAAATGAAACTTCCTGTCTGCTGTAGGACAATACATTCACTTAAATTCTACTTAATCCGTTTGTTCCATGTTAAGGAAAAACTGGGACATCAGATGAAAAGCCATATTTTCTACTGTCTTGTCAAGACTCATTCTAATTCTTGTGATTGACGGTCGGAACTCTTACAAGAGAGGCAGCAGCATCCATTCAACAAGACTCATTCTTTGTAGCTGCCTTTCGGAAATGGTAATGATCTACCTATCCCTCACCCTCTTACATTCACAGCTGCTGATCTGAAAATTATGATGTGTCAGACATTTTACAACCTTAACATCCATCAACTCATCTTAACATTTCTAATCCCAGCTTAACTGTAATGGATTTTTAGGTAGCTAGAGAGGTTAGCCAACCAAGACAGAAGTCACATCGTGAATGAGTAGCATGCCGAATATACATTTCTTACCTTACGCTTGTTGGTAGGACACACGTAGAGATAGCTCAAAATGGTTTTCAAACCAACTTTATCATTCAGCTTCTCATAGGTTGTTCCATAATCGGTTGACCTATAATTCAAAAAGATCATTAATGAGGACAGACGTATACGTCATTTGGCTGCTTGTTGGTATAATGCATGTCTTACATTGCAGAATGGCTCTCGGGTGGTTTCTAAATGATTCATGCAGTATATAATGATGCTTAATTATGTACACAGTAGCATCATGTGAGTGGTTAAAATTTGCATTTAAATTGAACTGGTAAAAATTAAAACTCCATCTCATCTCTCTACTGCTCCTTAATGTATGCACACTGCATAAAAAATGTGGTTAATTTTAAAAGATTAAGAGATGAGGGTGTCCCTTGATTTGACCAAAGAATTAAAAGAGTTTTTAGTTACATATGACATTTCCAAACTTTTACTTTATGTTTGGCACAGTAGAAAAGCAGGTTCTCCTGATTTATCTACAAATTGTGTTTACTCTGATGAGTCAGGGAATATATGGTAAGTCAGTCCCTTCAAAGGTCAGTTAGTCTTTTCTTACTATTTAAAAGCAAGAAAATGTCTCAATAATAAGAGAAATTTCACAAATTTCTTATTCCAGTGTTAAGCAATCCAGAGACAGGAGGACATCACTTCTCATCCCTGACTCTGTTTTTCCTATAGAGCCTCTCAACTTTTGCCATTGGTCAATAAATTATTCATTCAGATTAAATAAACTGATTTTGATTACCTTCTCTGTGAAGGTCTATGCTAAGAATTTTAATCTTATATCATCATGATAACTATGTATAGTAGGGATTATTATTTGTATTTGATGAAAATGATTGAGAGAAATTCAGTGACTTGTTCAAAGAAATTTTTTAAATTTCCTTATACTTCAGCTTTTTTTCCCCTTTTTGTCTTTTTTTTTTTTTTTTTTTTTTTTTTAATTCAAACAAGATAGGGCAGGGCACAGTGGTTCATGTCTGTAATTCCAGCACTTTGAGAAAGCAAGGCAGGTCAATCACTTGAGGAGTTAGAGACCAGCCTGGTCAACATGGTGAAATTCCGTCTCTACCAAAAATACAAAAATTAGCCTGGTGTGATGGCACACGGCTGTAGTCCAAGCCTAATTTGGTTTTCTAAACGTACCCATTTTCAAGGTTCATAGTTCTTTCAATAAGTTTTGCATAGTATGTATTCCTCAGTGATGGGGAATGGCATCTAAATCCTCTCAAGTGTTGACCCTTTCTGTTTGCCATCTATGTATAAATTTTGGGAAGAAATGTCTTGAATCTCCAGCCAGAATAAATCCTTAATTCCTAGCTCCAGGATCACTTTTATGCAGCTTTCCGCCAGTGTTTGGTCCACTGTACATACTGAATGGATGATCCTGAGCTTGTTAACATACCCTTCTACTTGGTCATTATGTCCTATAGGAATTTGTAACTTTAATCAGTTTCAGAAATGAATTAAGATGGTAACACTTTTTGTGTTTTTCTAATTAAATCAACATTAATTTCTAAGCATTGTGAACTCATATCTCTATCTCTGCACTTAACACATCTATTTGTTTATGTATTTCAAATTGTGACATACTTGAGAGTAGGGGCTGTGTGCTGTGTTCTTGCACTTAGCAACACTCTCTGGTATATCTTAGAAGTGCTACAAATGTGAATGAATGAATGAATTTTATCGACAATTTCCTAAGAAAATAAAGCTAAGAGGAAATTTTATATCTATCTTTTTTTTTCTTTTTTTTTTTTTTGAGATGGAGTCTTGTTCTGTAGCACAGGCTGGAGTGCAGTGGCATGATCTTGGCTCACTGCAATCTCCACCTCCCGGGTTCAAGCGATTCTCATGCCTCAGCCTCCCACAGTGCTGGGATTACAGGTGTGAGCCACTGTGCTCGGCCCCCAGTCCACTTTCAGTATATTTTTTTCCATTCTTACCTTAGCCTCCTGAGTCAACATTCTCTTTCTAGTAGGTCTTACTAGCCTTGTTTTACCTCCTTTTATTGTACTGTTTTTTTTTTTAAATATTCATTATTCTGAATAATGCAAGTTCCAGAACAAAAACAGATACGAAATCTACTGATGGGTGGAAATCAGTAAGACTATATTAGAGCCAAGGGAATAGATCAGTTTTCTTAGTGGAATAATGAAAAAAAGAGACTAAAGAAGTAGGAATAAGTCTACAGAGAGTGCGATGAGTTTCTTATAATTCCTGTTAACTTGGTCCCTGAGCACAGATGAATTTTTTTTACATTTTATAAAAACATGCCATAGAAAGGCAAATGAAGATTGTACTATAAGGATTCTACATACAATCATCCTTATTTGCATGTGTGTGTTTTTGTGTGGGTGGGTGAGTGGGTGTATATTAAACTCTAATCTCAAAATGTGACAAGCTGACAATAAAGTGACTTAGTCAGATTTACATTAGCAACATTTTTTCAGAAAGCTTACACTACTTTATTGGACATTTTTATCTTATTGTAACATAATTCACCCCCCAATCCAGATGCCTTATTTTTTGGTGCCATCTCTTGTTTCTTGATTTTACAAAGCTCAAAAGTTATCCCAAAATTTGATAATTCTCCACTCAAGCAGAACTGTGTATTTAAACACTACGGCTTTGTAGTAAGCAATTGATAGAGAAAATGATGCATTTTCACACATTCAGGTGGTATAGATTAGCAACTATCCAAGGGTGTCCCACAGAACTAGAATTACATGGAGTGTTGACAAGTTTCATTGGCAGAACCAACAATCGGCTGGGGCATACATTGGTACAGTGGTACAGAAGAATAGTAAATACTTTCAAACCAGTTGGTAAATAGTTACTGCACTAAGTTCTCTGAGTAGTTGTTCCAGTAAGTCTTATCACCATAGCCTCTCACTCAGGAGCCTCTTAAGTTTCTTCACAGCCCAACAACCAAAAGAATGAGGTCTGGCACAGCAGAGGTCCCAGACACTTGCTCCAGCACCAAGCCCAACACCTGTGCTGATCTGTCGATGCTTTTGTCAATCAGGCTGCACCCCAGAAGGGGTACAGTGACCTCAGGTTGGCACTGCATCATGGAAGGCAATTTCTAGAGCCCATCTGTAAGCCCTGATTCACAGCTAAGAGATGCTTTCAGTTCTACTCGCGCAGTCATTTATGGGAGCTGTAGTCTCCCATGGACATGAGCTCCTAAAGAGCAGAGGAAACAAAGACGTGGTCAGCAGACAGGCTGGTGAACCCACGTGCTGGTTAAATATTTTAACTACCATCCCTAGGAATGGGAGAGAGGGACATTTTCCAAGAACAAAAAATATGGCGAAATTTATGATTAGGCAACATTTAATGTTCCTTTACTTCCTAACTTTTCACAAATGGTATTATTCTAATATACAATGAACCTCTTAAAAGCACATTTCATACAACATTTTCCAAATATATTTGAAGACAGGATCTATTTTTGAGAGATATCTAATGAGATTAGTGTTCTGAGCAACACATTTTGGGAAGCACAAGATCAAAGGCAAAGAAAGAAAAAGAAAGGCACGGATCTTAATTTCCTAAGAAAGAGGAACTATTAAAAATATCTTAAATGCAAACTGCAAACAGAAATGCCAGCCTCTATTAACCATCAAGTGACTACTGTTGTAATAAAAAAAAAAAAAAAAAAAGGAAAGGATCTTAAAATGCATATCTTAAATAGCCATAATTAAGATGTGACATATGCAGCCTTGAATTCTTGTACAATTAAAAAAAAATCATTTCAAAGCAAGCATTTTTATTTTCAGGCTTTGTTTACAGGTTGACTTATCTAGAAATGAAAAAGAGAGCTTCTGTCAACACCTATACTGTGCCAGAAGAAGCTAGAAGCTTAACAAAATAAGCATTCTATGAAAAGAAATACAGGAGTGATTAAATTAAGGCTTACTTTCTTTTGCTTTTGATCTTTAATCCTTATACTACTGTTTTTACAAATATATCTTAGTGACTTTTAGAACTTTTGAAAATATGTCTCCATTTAAGTATTTACTACATGCACAGAGCTGAAATAAGTTGCTCTGCAGAGTGAAGAAACCACATCTGAGGCAACCCACCTGCCTTCCAAGAGGTTATGATCTTTTTGAGATAGCAAAATTTCCTACCACACTTGAAGAAAGGATCAGTATAGGCTACAACTAGTTTCCATAGGAGTTGCAGAAATGTAATGTGTGACTGGATTTCCTCCACTCTAGTCTTATGCCATCAAATGAGATACTAAATAAACACAGAATCACTGTAATCTAAATTAACCCATAAGCACAATGATTGGCACATAAGCAAACTATAAATGATAGCTTTTGTTATTCACTTCTAACATTTTTTTCTTGATTGTTTTTGGTGGTCTTTGCTCGATACTTACTAAAACCTATCATATGAACCCTCAAGGAAAACCCCAATCACTGAACATAATTTTGATTTAGGTTGCTTAGAAGATATTCATAAAGCTATTACAACATTTTAAAAACATAGCATAACTTAGTCTATTATATGTTGAAGAATATGTGCTAGTTTTATGTGGTACCTGGATCAGAGAGTTAATGGTAAGAACTGAAATGAGAATTAAAGATTCCACATTCTGCTTCTATAATAAGTATGTCAGAATTCTATTGCTGAATAGACTATTGTGCTTAAAACTCCTAATAGATAACATCATAAAAATGAATGCTCATTGGGTACATACAATGTGATCTGAGCTCTTCACATGCAGAATCCTATGAGATAGACACTGATATTAATATCGCATGTTACAAATAAGGAAGACTAAAAAGTGTAACCAACCTACTTAAGACTAAAGAACTTGGAAGGTGCTGAGTGCACACTGGCCAGCATCCTTTACTCCATACTGCCATGCCTCTATCAAAAGCCACCAGGAGAAATTTACAGGAAGTTAAGGAGATGTGTTCAGAAAACCTAGTTGAGGAATTTTTAGTAAAAGAAATGTTAATTAAAACTCTTTGAGATTCTTTATGTTGTAGACCAAAGCCTGACTTTTCTTTATACTTACTAAAGGACAGGTCTGCCAGAAAGAATTGATTGAAGGAA